TGCGTCTTGGCTCTCTTGATATATAGTAAATTTTTGGAACATCGTTTATGAGTTTGAGACATTTTCTATGGCTATAAATATATATATCCTTATTTACCCATATTATTAGTGCTTGTTTTCTATATAATTGACCTGTTTATACTCAAATCAATAGTAAAATGTTTATTCTGGATCTGCCAATGGGCCAAGGCTGTGAATATATGTCTTCTAAACCATGCTAAATTATATCGGCATGTCACATGCCAAGTCAAAGTGATCAGCCCGGTGACCATGGCAAAGGAAGACTTTCTCATCAGTAATCAAAACTGCCAAGACTTGCTCACTAATCACCTAACCCATACATACGGCAACTGAATGAATCAAATAGGACGTAAGTCTGTGGAGTTGGGAAAACAATTCCCTCAACTCAATTTGGCATTTGGGCCTTCTGTTTCATTGCGTAATAGCCCGAGCCGCTCTCGGCCTTACTTGGGCCAGACCACACAGCGCTCGCAGGTCCGGCAACATGATCCACGCGCGCCCTTACATGGAAATGCCGATTTGGGCCACGTTCACAACAGCCCCCCGTCATGTGAATAATTCCTTGCATTTAGTAATTATTATATAAAACCCATATCTCTTATGCTCATGGCTGGTTTAAGACTTTTCGAAATTTTGTTGAGGTTTTCTCTAACTACAAGTTTGAAAACATCTTAAACTTATACGATTTTGGGACGATTTTAGGATATTGGATAAAGATCATGCCCATATGCATGAAAAAACCATTACATCTTGTTTGGATGTTGGTATTAAGCTTGGAATTAGGTAATTAGGATTGTATATCTTCAATACCACATGTTTGGATGATTTGGAATCCGATTTTGGAATTTGACCCACTACGCGATATTCTCATGGTACTAAACAACATAGTACCAATGCAGACCAAATAAGCTTGATATTGGCTAGCTTCGTCACCTGGACATGCCAGGGGTGGAGCTCACCATGAGGTGGAGGAGGCGAAGCCTGAGCATAGAGGGACAGAGCTCGCCGGTGCGTGGAGCAGGCGGATCCGGGGCGTGGAGGAGAGCTCACCGATGGTGGAGCAGGCGGACCCGATGCCTAGAATAGCAGAGCTCACGACGTGTGGAGCAAGCGGACCTAGGAGTACTTTCCATATCTCGACACGCCTATACCATCGATGATCTTGAAAAACATATATAGTTTTAATTTATGCTTATTTAAAATTTTGTATAATAGTATATGATTGGTAGTTTGGATATAGATTTGTAGGGATAATTTAATTTACTTTTAATGACAATAGAAGCAATTAGTTTAAATATAAATTTAATGGGTCTCTCACGCAATGGTAGGGTGGGTAATTCAAATAAAAACCAACAATTATTTTAGAATATGATATATAATACTAGAGGTAATTGATGCAGCCAATGAATTTTTTTTATGTTATTTTAAAAATGATAGAGTTAGAAGGTTTCTTAGAAATAAAAGAAAAATAGATGCGATACTATGGGCCTATTCGCTGTGGCTTGGGACTGTTTCGATCTATTAACACTAAAAACTAGCAGCTAAGATTAGTACTAGTGGATTTAAATAGACCTAAACCTGCTAACTATTAGTTCCATTAGCAGGTTTAGAGTTGCTAAGAGCAACTACAAGAGACTTGGTAAAATTAGATGTTAAATTATGAGATTTAGCCATTACGTAAAATAGAAAGCCTATCTAAAATGTAGAGTTTTATAACAACCTAGCTAAATTGGAAAACACAGATAGCAAGCAAGACTCGCTAGGGAAATATGGCCAGCGAGAATGGTGGGATAGCCAGCTAGGAAAAATGAAAAATAATATAGACAAGCTGTTGGAATGTTTTTTTTGAGCAAATAACTATAAATGGCTTCATGAATACATTTACCCAGTCCATTGGAGTTGCTCTAGTTGCCTTCTAACGAACACATACACTTCCGCGTTTGTCCCATGGACTTTACTTTGGCCAATGAGACTATTATACGATTTTTCTGAGAAGCAACATGATACTTTTTTCCGTTGGTTTTTTTCTATTTTCTAACTAAAGTATTAATTAATATGCAAGATAATATTAGACAAATGGTTGGTTCTGTTCAATACTTTGGTAGGGCTGACTACGCCACCTCAGCAGCTAGGACTGGAATTACTTACAATGCATCTCATCTGCCACTGACTGAATTCGAAGTAGGGCCAGTGTATAAAGACCAGCTTATCTCTCTTAAGACTTAGTCCACTTTCTACTAGAATCAGATTTTCTAGTTTGCAAGCAGGTGTGCTGGCTGTAACAAAAACTTACGGCTTAAGTGAATTTCTTTAGTTAGTCTATAACTCAAGATTTTCTTTATAGGACTCCCACACAAGTAAGTAGCTAGGTAGCTGGTATTGCTAAAGCCAAAAACACTGCTGCATTCGAAAAGGTGAACCGCGCAGACCTGACTTCTTCCTTTTTATGCTGAAACTAGCCGTCGGGGGAAAAGAGCCCGGAAGGGTAAAAAAACAACTAGAAGCCATTGGGCTATTACTGCTACAACGAGATATTGCCTGAAAGAGTTATCCCCTTCTGAAACGAGTGCTCAAGCCAACAAGCAAACGTATACTTTATTTTCTTCTTTTCTTGCAGCATTCCTAAACTCAAAGCTCTATATTCTATTCTTACGCTTCCAATATTCTCTTCCAAACAAAAGCAATAGGTTGTCAACAGAAGTCAATGAAGCAACGTTTGAAAGAAACGACACTTCTTTCTCAATTTCCACTTTAGATAGGAGAGTCTGGTCCTTATATGAAACAGGTATGCCAAGTGGAATTCTGAGTACGGTTGTATAGGACTGCTTTCAAGATAGCGAGCAAGACCTACTCTCTTGGAATGGGGCTAGTCAAAAGAAGACACCTTGATAAGGATTTGCTAACCTCTGACTCCCTTTCACTTCATATTGGAATATATGAAACTCTCAAAGATGAGCTTTCACTTTGATAACAAGATTCTCATCACGTACTTACTCTTACATAGCTCAATCAATCTGCTAGAAAGCTCTGCTCAGAATGAATTTATGGGGTATTAGCCACAGCAAGTAGAAAATAAGTTTATTTGGAAAGCAAGAAAGAAGTAGGCGAGGAAAGGCATACATAGGTCAGAAAAAGTATGCATGGTCGTCATGGGTAAGGATTCTCATTCTAGCATTCTTGGGTCTAGTTTGGACTTGGGCTTAGATGTAGTGGGTTCTTGGGCCACATCTTTACCTATCAAAACCTTCGAAGGAGCATTAGTCTTTGACACATCAATCAACCCCGCATAGGAGCATGGGATTTGGGCACATCAGCACCAAACCAGTTGTTGAAGCGGAGTATGAGCTTCTATCCAATAGAAAGAAGAAGCAAAGGCTTTTCGGTAAAGTATCCGATTTTTTAGTGGTCCTTGCATTCACTCCTCCAAGGAGGTGGTAATTCATTCATATTACGCCTATCTATGGAAAAGTTCTTTTGTTGCTTCAACGGCTCTAGCAGTCGAATTTACTTGTGGGCAGAAAGAATTTTTACTCGCATATTACTTAGTCTTACTTAGTCTAGTCTACTCGATGATGCAAGGGTATCATTCAATCTGCTCTAGTTTGTGTCTTTCTTAGTGGGTGGTTAGTTAGTGTTTAATTGAGGCCTAAGCTCGTGTAGCAATGCGGACTCGCTCATTCAATTAATTATCAAGTTGGATTTGCTTTTCAACAAATAGCTTTAGCCTTTAGCTTCTTTATTTATTGTGTGTAATCCCGTTCTTTGCTTATTTATGGTTAGTTGTGTAGTCCGAGTAGTACTTATCTTACTTTGTTTTTTGTTTGGTGGTGTAGCAAATATAGACTCAAGAGAATATATATATATATATAAAAATCTGTCTACCTATGAGGCTGTAACATCTTAGGTCTGGCACATGATCCAGGCCCACTCTATCAAGAGGTGGGCCCCCACCTAAGTAGCGATATGTCTGTGCTTTCATCCTCGCTTCGCGTAAAACGGTTCACCAGAGGTTACTACGTGTTTTTGACCTGGCTATTTAAGCTGGTTCGACGAACTCAGAATTCACGGTACAGTACTAAACAGCTTGTAGCACAGTGTTTCGTATAGCTACAGTACTCGTCGCTACAGTACCAGAATTGGGTCCGTGCCAACTTGGTCCTATGAGCGGGGTCTCACAGAGGCATAGTTAGATCGTTTTCCCAACGCATGGTAAGTCCAATGGGTTATTATTTTCTTCTTAAAAAAAGGCAATTACTTAAGTAGAAATAGCACAATCCACCCTATAAGGGCAATGCGCATTAAATTACATCGGTTGTCACAGCTTTTTCCGCTTTTTCACTGAATAGTCCTCCCTTGCTATTATTTTCACTCTATAGTCATGTTCGCTCCGCTGAAAAAACAAGTCAAAATACTGTTTCGGTTAATTTGTTGTGAGAGAAAAATATTGTTCCCGCTAAAAAAACAAGCCAAAATATACGGATTATAAGACAAACGAACATACCTATATAGCAGTTTGTCTGTAGTGTTTCTGCGTAGGCTTTTATCTATGATAGCTGTCCTTGCTTTAGTTGGCGAGCAGTGCTAACAGTTCATATGCACCTCCACCTCACTGTATAACCATGTATTAGCAGTGAATTCAAATAGTCTCCTACTTTTAGTGCGAATAGATCAAACAGGTCCTAAGCCCGTAATAGTTACTTATAATCTAAAAATTTAATAATTAGTAAAGTAATGATTGTGCAAAACATACATTTTTCATGAATTAGCGGGGAGCCAGGGATGCTCTGCTTCCCATATCGCGTGCTTTGCAACGTGCCGAGCCGAACTGCCGACGTGCCGAGTCACAGGGGAGCCGAACTGCTTCCCATATCCATATCGCGTGCTTAAAACCCCACACCCCGTTAGATGACAGTTAAGCGGAAGCCCCCCCCACTCGCTCCACATCGCCCGCCGCTCCACTCTCCCTCCACACCTCCCCCATGACTCCCCTGCTCCTCCTCCTCCTCCTCCTCCGCCTGCTCTGCCTCCTCCCCCTCGCCTCCGCCGCAGCGGCGCTACCCGCAGATTTCACCGCGCTCCTTGCCTCCAAGTCCTCCCTCTCCGACCCCACCTCCGCGCTCGTCGCCTGGGACCCACGACTCTCCCCGTCGCCCTGCCGCTGGCCGCACCTCCTCTGCTCCAACCGCTCCTCCGTCTCCGATGCCCATGCCCCGGCCGTCGTCGCCTCGCTCCTCCTCTCCAACCTCTCCCTTGCCGGCGCGTTCCCGCCCGCGCTCTGCTCGCTGGGGTCGCTCGTCCATCTCGACCTCTCCTACAACTCCCTCACCGGGCCCCTGCCGCCCTGCCTCGCCGCGCTGACGTCGCTCAGGCATCTCGACCTCGCCGGCAACGCGTTCTCAGGCGAGGTACCAACAGCCTATGGCGCCGGGTTCCCTTCCCTCGCCACGCTCAGCCTCGCCGGCAACGGCCTCTCCGGCGCATTCCCGGGGTTCTTGTTCAACGTCACCGCGCTCGAGGAGCTCCTCCTCGCGTACATCCCCTTCGCGCCGTCGCCGCTGCCGGAGGACGTCTCCAGCGCCACGCGGCTCCGCCTGCTGTGGCTCGCCGGGTGCGGCCTCGTCGGGGAGATCCCGCCGTCGATCGGGAGCCTCGGCAGCCTCGTCAACCTCGACCTCTCCACCAACAACCTCACCGGCGAGATCCCTTCAAGCGTCCGGAGGATGGAGAACGCTATGCAGATCGAGCTCTACTCGAATCGGCTCACCGGGAGCGTGCCGGAGGGGCTGGGGGCGCTCAAGAAGCTGCGGTTCTTAGACGCGTCCATGAACCGGCTCTCCGGCGAGATACCGGCGGACGTGTTCCTCGCGCCCAGGCTGGAGAGCCTGCACCTGTACCAGAACGAACTGTCTGGCCGCTTGCCCGCGACGTTGGGGCAGGCGCCTGCGTTGGCTGACCTGAGGCTCTTCACCAACCGTCTCGTCGGGGAGCTGCCGCCGGAGTTCGGGAAGAACTGCCCGCTCGAGTTCCTCGACTTGTCGGACAACCGGATCTCCGGCCTTATTCCGGCGGCTCTGTGCAACGCCGGGAAGCTGGAGCAGCTCCTGATACTGAACAACGAGCTGGTCGGTCCCATCCCGGCGGAGCTCGGGCAATGCCGGACACTGACGCGGGTGCGACTGCCTAACAACCGGCTGTCCGGACCCGTGCCGCAGGGCCTGTGGGCCCTGCCGCACCTGTACCTCCTGGAGCTCGCCGGGAACACGCTGTCCGGCACCGTTGACCCCACCATCGCCATGGCCAAGAACCTGTCGCAGCTGCTCATTTCCGACAACCGTTTCTCTGGCGCGCTGCCGGCGCAGATCGGCGCCCTGCCTGCTTTGTTCGAGCTGTCGGCCGCGAACAACATGTTCTCCGGGCTCCTGCCGGCGTCGCTAGCAGAGGTTTCTACGCTTGGCCGGCTTGATTTGAGGAACAACTCGCTGTCCGGCGGTCTGCCGCAAGGTGTTCGACGCTGGCAGAAGCTGACGCAGCTGGACCTCGCCGACAACCACCTCACCGGAACCATCCCGCCAGAGCTCGGCGAGCTGCCCGTGCTGAACTCGCTTGACCTGTCGAACAACGAGCTCACCGGCGATGTGCCGGTGCAGCTGGAGAACCTCAAGCTGAGCCTGTTCAACCTATCCAACAACCGGCTCACCGGCATCTTGCCTCCACTGTTCTCCGGCCTCATGTACAGGGACAGCTTCGTGGGCAACCCGGCGCTGTGCCGCGGCACTTGCCCGAGCGGCGGCCAATCCAGAACCGCCCGTCGTGGCCTCGTGGGCACCGTCGTCTCCATCCTCGCTGCGGCCAGCGTCGTCCTGCTCCTAGGCGTCGCGTGGTTCTGCTACACGTACCACCGGAGCCACCACGGTGGACACGCCGCGGAGCCCGGCGGCGGCGGCCGCGGCAGCAGGCCCAGGTGGGTGCTGACGTCGTTCCACAAGGTGGGGTTCGACGAGGACGACATCGTGAACTGCCTGGACGAGGACAACGTGGTCGGCATGGGCGCGGCGGGCAAGGTGTACAAGGCCGTCCTGAGGCGCGGCGGCGAGGACGTCGCCGTCGCTGTCAAGAAGCTGTGGAGCGGTGGCGGCAAGGCAGCGGACGGCACTGGCAAGGACAGCTTCGACGTGGAGGTGGCGACGCTGGGCAAGATCCGGCACAGGAACATCGTGAAGCTGTGGTGCTGCTTCCACAGCGGCGACTGCCGGCTGCTGGTGTACGAGTACATGCCCAACGGCAGCCTCGGCGACCTCCTCCACGGCGGCAAGGGAGGCCTCCTGGACTGGCTGGCGCGGCACCGGATCATGGTCGACGCCGCGGAGGGCCTCGCGTACCTGCACCACGACTGCGCGCCGCCGATCGTGCACCGCGACGTCAAGTCCAACAACATCCTCCTCGACGCCGAGCTCGGCGCCAAGGTCGCTGACTTTGGCGTCGCCAGGGTCATCGGCGACGGGCCGGCCGCCGTCACGGCCATCGCCGGCTCCTGTGGCTACATCGCTCCCGGTGAGCTACCCTTAACTTCACCTTCTTGATGATTTATTGCTTGTGTGCTGATGGTGATTTTGTTTCCTGCGTGCGTGCGATCAGAGTACTCGTACACCCTGCGCGTGACGGAGAAGAGCGACGTGTACAGCTTCGGCGTGGTGATGCTGGAGCTCGTCACCGGCAAGAAGCCCGTCGGGGCAGAGCTCGGGGACAAGGACCTGGTGCGGTGGGTGCACGGCGGCATCGAGAAGGACGGCGTGGACTCGGTGCTGGACCCGAGGCTCGCCGGCTCGTCCAGGGACGACATGGTGAGGGCGCTCCACGTCGCGCTTCTCTGCACGTCCAGCCTCCCGATCAACCGCCCGTCCATGAGGACCGTCGTCAAGCTGCTGCTCGAGGCTGCGCCGTGCCCACTGGAGAGCAAGCCACCAAAGACCGCCGAGGAGAAGCCTCTTGATGTCTGACATTGTCGGACAAGATCTATCGTGTCTCAGAAATACTGTAAGGATCAATGACAGTGAATTGCTAACCACTAGTAGCACGCATCATCCACATTTCGCGATCTTCTATAGCTCTCAAATATCAGTACAGAATCTAGTACTACGCAGTTGCTTATAAATGAACTCAACACAAGCCTGAGTTTTTCAGGGCTTGACTCGTTTCATCACGTTATAATATATAGCTCATTTGGGCCTCTTCATCATGTACCAGTTTCTTACTGTACTTTTGTACAGGGACATTAGTCTATCTGATGGCAAAGATTTGCGGCCCGTGCGCTTTGGCTTATAAGCTGTATTTTTTAGTCAATAAACAGTATTATTTTTTTCACATCAAATCCGTCAACAACGATACAGTCATGATTTATCAGCTGCGAACATGCCACGTTTTGGAAAATGACCCTACTTCGACTTTGTGGATCATTAGGATATTCCATGCTCATGTCTGGTCCTGAATTCCTGAAAAGTGCTTCTGATGTACTTCAGCTTCTGAGCTTACTTTGATCTGCACTTGCACCCATAGGCCATAGGTATCGGTTACAATTTTGGCTTATCAATTCCAACGGGCAAGGATTGGGTGTGATTAGCTACTGATTAGCACTGGTGTCAATTGCCATTTCTGCATTTGGCAACAGCCTTTCTTTCCCTTGTGCCCTTTAGCAGGAAACATTCAGCTGTAGTGGAAAAGGCCAACAACAGAACAGGACACTGTACAGAAGCTGTGGTGGCCTTCTAATTCTAATTCATGTTTCCTCTCAGAAGTATTGGAATTGCCTGCAGTGTTGAGATCGAGAGGAGGATGGGGAGATGTTGGTGTGTTTGCTTTTAGCCTACATCTCCATGTGTTGAGCCAGCGGCGGAGCATGGCTTCAGTTGCACTGCATGACTGCCTGTACAATAATGGCCCTGAATTGAGATTAAAAGAAACGGCAGAAAAACAAATAGTCATGTGCTCAATCGTTCGCAGCCGTGACAAAAATTCGTTGCGGTTTGGAGGTTGGAATGTCTCACCTAATTTTTTGGCCTGCTAATAAATTGGACGCCGACACCGGATTACGGAAGCAAATGATAGGAGTAGGACGATGTGCAGAGCAGGGATATGCGTGAGTATTTCAGACCTTGTTTAAAGTTGCAGTGTGTCACGTCGGATGTTAAGTACAGAATCGGTCGGTAAACCACGACATGAATTTATTAAGTCTAATTAATTCGTTATTAGCACATGTATGTGACGGTAGTATTTTATTGTTAAATTATAAACTAATTATGTTTAAAAGATTTATCTCGTAAATTAGTCGTAAACTATGTAATTAATTATTTTTTAGTCTATATTTAATACTTCGTATATATCAGACATTCAATTCGATATGTAAGTGTGTAAAGTTTTAGGGTTAAAACTAAACACGAGCTCAGTTTGCACATCTCTGCACACCGCAGGGTGCAGGCAGGCACTGCATTTCCATTTCAACTGCTTGCATCGATCGAGTTGGAAACTGCTACTGTTGGATGAACAGGCAGCACCAGCACGGAGATCGGTCAGTCCGTGGTACTAGGGGGGCAGAGCCTGTTAACGACAGGCTAGACAAGTCACACTTCCGTGCAGCTTCGGCATCAGAGCTTGCCAGCCAGGTGTGTAGTAGTAGGAGTACGTAGGACGTAGGAGTACTGGTGCTGCTGGTAGGGCTCCAGTACTGCAAGTTACTGTTCAGTGAGTGCTGCCGCTGCGTTCGGGCCGATTTGGCAGCGCTCCCCTTCGTTAAAAACGGCTCCGGCTCTGGCTCTTTCCGACGAGTAACTTCAGGGTGGAGCTGCCGCTGTTTCGGTAAAATAACTTCTCCTGATAGATAAGGAAAGTAAAATGTCTATAATATTCTTGATTTCTTTTTTATTTTTCATTTTTCTATTTTCATCTTTTTTATTTTTCCCTTTTCTATTTTCTTTCTTTATTTTATTGTCCTCTTACCTCTAATTTCTCTCTCCTCTTGCGACACCCTGTTCGTTGATTTATTGTGAGAGAAAAATATTGTACCATGTCTGATAAGCCATACTGATAAGTTCAAGCGAACATGGCGAACTGGAGCCGGCCAACCGCTCGTATACGCCTATACGGTAGACGTGTATTCTTCCCCATCTCTCCCGAGTTCGAATCTCCATCTGAAAGTGCAATCAAGCTCTAATTGTGAGTTTTGGTGATAATGATCATGCAATTAGATAACTAATAAGATTTATCGAGATGACAAGCAGGGAATTCATGTACGAGGATACTACACGAAATGGTGGAGCCTCCAATTACAAATGTAGATGGCTTCAAACTCAAAGGATGTTTAAATTCTTTTATATTTTGAATTTAAGTATAGAAAAAGTTGTACTATAAAGGGGGACACAATGCTTAAGCAAATATGTGCTACCAAGTGCTTAAACATACACATGCATCCTCAGATTCACAGCCAAGATAGTCTACACTTCACTCTTACCCTTGCTGTCTTGTGTGGTGCGACACTGTCGCACTTGAAGAGAGGCACTGCCGCACTTAAGCCGTGGCACTGCTGTGACTTAAGTGACCGCACTGAGTCCGAGACTTACAAGGGGTTTGGAGTCCAAGTTTGGACGGGGACCTAGACACCCAGGACAGGAGGGTGATGGGTTAGTCCTACTTGTGCCTGGGGTACAAACGGGGCATGTGTGTTTGGGGTACCTAGCTAGGGGCATTGATTCGTGAATCGCCGGGCAATCCGGTATGGCTTGTTTTTGAGTCTAGCACCATAGTAAGAACTGAAAGATGAAAAATAATGAAATAGACCTGATTGCTCAACCCTTGCTTGAAAGTAGAACATGTGCTTTTATAGATTGGATAGATAATAACTTAATACGGCTAATAATAACAACATAAATGAGGACTCACTATTAGTATTGCTTTCTACCAAAAGAAGACCAGCTAACCATAAAGCTTATCATATCCTTGGAGTCAAGAAATTATTCCCTTTAGTCGGATAAGTCTTGCGAGTACATTGTGTACTCAGGGTTTATTTACCCCTGTTGCAGGTGATGCATGAGAAGTACCTTTGTGTGGAGGATTCTTCTGGTGGGCTCAGATGGATCCTCATTCTTATCGCTAGATGTTTATTTTAAATTTCGTTGTTTATCATTCCGCACTCTGACATTTGGTAATGTAATAATGTAATTTCTAAGAAACTCTGATGTATGAAATGGACATGTATTGTAACTTGTTCTTATTATTGGATCATTGGGAAAAATATGGATCTTTCGGGTTCTCCCTTGGGGTGTGCCCGATGGATATCGCTCGCTGTAGCCTGCTTTCGGGGTGCTTAGTGTCTGGTGGAAGACGAGCACCTCCATAAGCGTGTTATTTCGGGCTGTTCTACTATAGTTGGTACTAGAGCCAATAATGGTTACGAGTTTCATCATTCTTTTTCAAAACTTAAAAATTTGACCAACAAAAGTTTTGCGAAAAGTAGGATGCGATTAAGTTAGTTAAATAAGTATAAGCTCTAACAATATGGTCTATCTATGATAGCGGCACTGATTTTATCTAGTCAGTTTCTGTAGGTACACTGACTTACCTTGCGTAAGAAATTGTCTAGCATACGGAAAGTTAGTGTGCGATGTGCCGAAATTTTTTGCGAATGCCGCTATATTCCGGCTTGAGTGAACATATAGGACGATACATGCATCATGATAATAGCATTTTGCTTAAACTAAAATCCCATCTATACATATAAATGGATTAGTAAAGTGATAAGATGAATTAAAAGAATGTTTTAATTAAATGTGCTGTCATTTCTCTAATCCCTTGCTTCTGATCGGGAAGGTTGTTCTAAATGGATGGTCCCTATCTCTTACAGATGAATCTAAAGTCCGGACATGGGAGCACTAGTGCTGGGGCAGCTCACGGTCTTGGCGAGGGCCAAGGCGAGAGTGGCCAAGCCAATGAGCACAACGGGGAGAGCCATGGGACTCCACTTCTGGCTCCTCCTCCTCCGCCACCGCTGCCTCCGATGACTCCCGCAAAGATGATGGCAGAATTGATGGCTGCTCGTCGAGAGACAGCCCATGCCATGGAGCTAATGGCACAAGCTGTCGCTGGCTTCGCCCGCGGAGGCCACGGGGGAAATGGTGGGAACGGTGGTGGTGCCCGCCGTCCTGAGGGACCCTCCTCTTACCAGGATTTCCTCAAGACCCACCCGCCCACGTTCACACCAACAGATGAGCCCCTGGATGCGGAGCACTGGCTTCGCATTCTGGAGCAGAAGTTTCTGTTGCTCAATGTGATCGACGAGCAAAAAGTGCGCTTTGCAGCGTAGCAGCAATTGGGGTCCGCGAGTGCGTGGTGGGATACCTTCCATGCCATGCAGTAGCCAGATCATCCGACAACCTGGCAGGAGTTCACCACAGCATTCAGAGAGTTCTATATTCCTGCTGGTGTTATCAACCGAAAGATGACTGAGTTCCTAGAGCTACGATAGGGGAGTATGACAGTAATGGACTATGTTAATAAGTTCAATCACTTGTCCTAGTATGCTGCTATTCATGTGGACACTAACGAGAAGAAGAAGGACTGCTTCTTTCGCGGCCTCTCTTATATCCTTCAGGAGAAGTTGTACACTGCGAACTATCAAACTTTCAGGGCAATGATGAACGCTGCCATCGTCATGGAGGGCTTGCAGCGGGATTCCTAGGCAGAGTGGAAGAGGAAGCGGGTGGCTACGGGGTCTTCTAGCCACCCTCATACTCAGAAGGTAGAGGTTGTCCAGCGGGGGCCCTATCAATCATTAGGAGGGGCCTTCGTTTTGGTAGCCCCAGCAAACTTCTCATACTTCTTTCACACAGTATAGTGCTCCCACGCAGCAAGTGTAGCTCCAGCAGCCTCAGGGACAGCAGGTCCCACCTCGCCAGGGATTTGGGAACAAGCCTGGCGCTTGCTTCAAATGTGGCAAAGATGGCCACTATGC